CTCCGATTTCCCCATGGTCTTGTTCTGATCTGCGTTTCTCACCTAATTTCTTTACTCTGTGGCCGTTTCTCAATATGCCTTCTTGTCTGTACTTGTGTTCTTGTGGACTTGTGAAACGTCATCAGTCGCGGCCAAGTACTGTCCCAATACACAAGTTTGCATTTCGGCAAGAACGGTTAAAAATCCCGGATGTGTTCTTGACACTCCCATTTTACCGAGGATGCATCGGTTAGTAACTTGTGTGAACTTGACGAAGAAATATCCCATAATTCATGTCGGCATTCGCAGAAGGAGCGGGAAGCATAGAGAGGCAGTTCAATTTTAAGTTACCTGAATATTACCAGCGTTTTTCCCGCTGTTGGCTAGTGATGTACACAAACAACAGAAGCAGAATTAAAATGGGACAGGTGTTGCTTTATTGTTATGAATATACATTACATTGTGTATGTAGAGTAATCCCTTAGGCTTGGGCAATAAAGCATGTCTGTTATCGTCAATAATTCTCGTTGTTTGGGCACTTCAGATGGCGTCTGTGCGGGGGTAACGTTACTATTGCGCAATACCAGCAAGAACACATCGTCTCAAACTGTCAGCAGCGTTCTGTGTGCTCGTGAGTTCGTTCTTCCAAGAACTAGCAAGAGCTTTCTTCCCAAGAACACAAGTATGTTCTTTGCATGCTCTCAGTGCTATGCAATTATGTCCCTTCTCATCTGTGATTTAATTTCTTTAAATTCCCCTTCATTTATCCTAACTAACGAGCACTTCTCTCTAAGCCTAGTTCAGGACGCAAGTTCTGTCCTCAAAAGCTACAGTTTATCTCCCTCCAGTATACTGGTTATTCGTTCAGGATTGGGGCTGCCACGACAGCAGCCGAACGTGGCATTTCTACTGCAGCCAGTAAAATCCTGGGCAGATGGTCTTCCTCTATATTCGAGTCATGCATACGACCTGATCCAAAAATCACCATCGGCGCTCAGCAAGCTCTTCACTAAACGGTTCAGGTAAATAACCTTTGCAACTACTGGTGGTGGTGCCATTATATTCTGGCGTCATATTGGTCTTTAAATCAGCTTGCTTTCATGGTCATAAGTCATCATCTATATGTGGCCTAGTGGCCTTGTCTTAATGTGGCCCTTGTCTTTATGTGGCATTAGTAGCCGTCGTGGTCTCGTCCCAGGTGGCCTCGTGGAAAAAAACAAAAACAAAACATGATATATATGTTCCGTGTAGTCTACTGTGACCGTGTAGCCTAATGTGGCCTTGTCCCGTGGTCTTGTGGCCTGTTACGGCATGGTTCTGTGTGGCCTAGTGGCTGTGTCTCGTTGGCCTTGTATCCGTGTGGCATTAGCAGCCTGTGGCCCAGCGTGCCTTGTCTCTGTGCGGGTCTCAAGGCCTTGTGGCATAATGTAGCCTTGTCCTATGTGTGGCCTATATGGTCTTGTTGCCCTTATGGTCTTGGTTCTGTGTGGCCTAGTGGCCGGTGTCCCTGTGTGACCTCGTCTCAGTGTGGGTGTACAATATCATGGCTTTTGCAGCCTCATTCTATGTTCAGTGTGGTCTACTGTGACCGTGTAGCCTAATGTGACCTTGTCCCGTGGTCTTGTGGCCAGTTATGGCATTGGTTCTATGTGGCTTAAGGCCTTGTCTATGAGTGGTTCTGTATCTCTGTGGCTTTAGCAGCCTTGTGGCCCAGCGGGCCTTGTCTCTGTGTGGGTCTAAAGGCCTTGTGGCACAAGTTGCCTTGTCCTGTATGTAAAAAAGGTCAGTGGTCAGTGGCCCCTAGTGGGCGCGGTTCAATGTGGCCTAGTGGCCGTTGTCTGTGTGGCTTGTTCCGTGTGGTCTATAGTGGCCTTGTGGCACAAGTTGCCTTGTCCTATATGTAAAAAAAAAAAAAAAAAAAAGCCAGTGGCCCTTAGGGGCGCGGTTTAATTTGGCCAAGTGGCCGTTGTCCGTGTGGCCAAGCGGCCTCAAGGCATTGCTGCCTCGCTAAAAAATGTCCATGTGGTCCTTGTGGCCTGGTTATGTATGGCCTTGCGGCCTTGTCTAGTCTACCTCGTTCTATGTGCGGCATTAGCGGCCGATGTGGCTCATCGCGGCCTCGTCTCTGTGGTCTAGCAAGGCCATGTGGCCGGGCGGCCTTGTCTCTGTGGTCTATCATGGCCGTGTGGTCCAATGTGGCCAGATTGCGGTCTAAGGAGGCCTGCTCTGTGTATGGCCCTAGGTGGCCTGTTCTGTGTGGTCCAATGAGGCCTGGCCCAATGTGCATTGTCTGTGTGGTCCAATGAGGGCTGGCCCAATGCAGCTCTGTTCTGTGTGATCGTGGCCTTGTCTCTGTGTGGCCCAAGGTGGCCTGGCCCATCGTGGCTCTGTTCTGTGTGGTCCATTGCGGCCTGTCTCTGTGTGTTCCATGAGGCCTGGCCCTATGTGGCTGTTCTGTGTGGTCCATCACGGCCGTGTCTGTGTGGCCAATGTGGCCAGGTTCTGCGTGGTCCATTGAGGCCATGTCTATGTGCGGTCTGTAATGGCTTGTCCTATATGGCCGGTTCTGTATGGCCAAGGCGGTCTTTTCTCAGTGTTCCTATAACGGCTCGTGTTCCAATGACATGTCCTAAGTTAGCCTCCCCACAGTTTAAGTCATTATTCCACAACACTTGATTCCCTCCAACTCATTTATAAGGAACTGGCTTCGATCAGATGTAAGTTTGTCTCAAAAAATAAGTCACTCTGGACGAAAGCGTCAGCATGGAGAAACGCTAATGTACATACAGCAGCAGAACATAAATGCATAGTGCATTATTCATGTCTTCTCATAGTTTCTTTCAGGCTCACTATGAAGTATCATCTTACTAATTAGTTATTGGCTACGAGGCTTTTTATTAACTCCCTTTTCTTTCTATTTTAGGCTCTACAGGATACATGACTGGTGGGTATACTTTTCTTTACCGTTCTTTGGGGGTGGGCTCTGTCCTGGTGGAATTTTTGGGGGTCGGCTGCACCCCTGCCTTCGTCTTCAGGCAGGAAATGCAGAGTCCGGACCCTCGGATTGCGAGCTATGGACGGGGCCTACGCCAAAGAACTTAATTGCTTGCTGGGCTATCTATAAATGTATTTATTGTTACAGTATTTATTCTCCCGAGTCTTTCTGGTAGAAATGGAAGCTTTAGCGTTAAGTTCTGCCAGGAAGACTCAATCGTTGCGTCACTAATTACCTTCTCATCTATCCAATCGTGTCTAATGCTTGAGATATAAAAGTCTGGTACTTACACATGTTTGAGTTCGCAGATGCTGACGCTTTCATTGACCTCCATCCTCCCCACCACCTCCAAGATGGTTCCTTCCCTCCCATCCTACCACCTCCAAGATGGTTCCTTCCCTTCCATCCTCCCCACCACCACCAGGATGGTCCCTTCCTATACCTCACGAGGGGGTTGGCTGCGCCCCTACCTTCGTCTTCAGGCAGGAAATGCAGAGTCCAGACCCTCGGATTGCGAGCTATGGACGGGGCCTACGCCAAAGAACTTAATTGCTTGCTGGGCTATCAATAAATGTATAAAGGAGTCCTATCAGGCCTGGTTGGCTTGTGGGACTCCGGAGGCAGCTGACAGGTACCGGCAGGCCAAGCGGACTGCGGCCCGGGTGGTTGTGGAGGCAAAAACTCGGGCCTGGGAGGAGTTCGGTGAGGCCATGGAGAAGGACTATCAGCTGGCCTTGAAGAGATTCTGGCAAACTGTCCGGCGGTCACAGGAGGGGGAAACAGTCCCTTACCAATGCTGTTTACAGTAGGGGTGGGCGGCTGTTGACCTCAACTGGGGATGTCGTCGGACGGTGGAAGGAATACTTCGAGGATCTCCTCAATCCCGGCGTTACGTCTTCCATTGAGGAAGCAGAGGCTGAGGGCTCAGAGGTGGACTCGTCCATCAAACTAGCTGAGGTCACTGAGGTAGACAAGAAATTCCTCGGTGGCAAGGCACTGGGGGTGGATGAAATCCGCCCTGAATACCTCAATTCTCGAGGAGGGTCCAGCTGCGGCTTGGGCGTTACCGTAATGACACTAGAAAGCCCATCGGGCGTTCCTGATAGCGTTTCATCGTCCAATCACGAAGAGTTTCGCAAGGCACACTGGGTATGATGTCATTTCCCTTAAATTTTCCGGGAGAAGTAGTAGTCAAGCGGTCAATCGATGAGAGATTATGTCAGTAAGTAGGCTATTGTTTATTTCTACAACATTGACTGGGAAGTATTCTCATTTATGTCATTGATATAGCTGTCGTGTCTTCTTAATCTTATATGGTATACGAATCTGATATTAATAATCGCGGCAAGCAAGGTTCGGTAGCCGCTAATGTCATGCTATCTCGTCTTAGCCATAGCTAACTTAATTGTAATATCTTGAGGGTTCGAAAAAGGCACTGAAACCGGTGGTTGAAATAACTCAATAGCTTTTACTGGAAACTGCCAGAGAACAGCCGCATACACACAAACACACACACACAGCTCCGCAGCTCACGCAACGTATACGACTGTTTGTAGCTAGAAAGAGTTTGCAGCGAAGACTAAGTTAACATTAGCACAGTAACGTTACATTGTTAAGTTGGATGTTATGTTAACGTGTTAGCTAGATACAAGAGGCATGAAGTAGCGGCCACGTACTGCTTCGTTATGGTGACACAGATAACTTTGATGGGCGCGTTGCCTCATTTTGGTGGTAGGTATCTTTGTCTAAAATAGTCTTTTACAGCTATAGCATAGAAACGGTGTCCAAACTGTGCACAAAAAGCCTTTAAACCTGTTAACCGTTGCCAGAGCGTCGGCGCACTAAGGTGTTATTTTTTTTATAGTTCAAAGTTACTATCAGATTTAATGTTATTACCTTGACAAACTATGCATCGTTAAGTAATCCAAAAATTAGTCGATACCTTTACCCTCTGAAGTTTCATCTTCAGATGGTAAATATAACATGGTCAGACATGTGGCTTTAGATGCAGTGCATTTCTAGATTGCTCTGGGCCTAGAACGAGATGTTGAAGCAACGGTAAATCTGAACCAAGTGTTTAACTGTATTTCCTATGGTGTGAGCTGATTAGTTGTCTTACTAATTAATCATTGTTTTTTTTTTAGATCGCAAATTGTTGTTTCAACATTATCGCCAAGGCTGCAAATGCACGTGTAAGTTACATTTATTACATTTAACATAATCTGTGCATTCATGTTTCCTGACTGTATACTTTTGTTGCCTACACAAAGTTTTATGCATCTGTTTTCAAATAAAGGGCATTGCAACCATGGCTGTGGATGCCTATGTGGTGGTCACCTGGCTTCCTCCATATGAGGCTTCTCCGATTGCTGAAATGATTGTGAGTAGTAATGTAACAGAACTTGTATTTCAGCTTTAACCTCATGTTCAAGTTCCTCTTTGAACTTTTTTTTTTTTTTTCCTCAGTGTGACTTTGCATCCAAAGACGTGGTGCTTCTCCCTGCCTGGCAACCGGGGCACTGGACATTGTGTGTGAGTAAACCCACTTTGACATGGCTTTTTTTTCTATCTGAAATTCTGTGCTGTTATTATTGAATCTTCATTCATGCTTTGTTGGTACATTTCAACATGCGGAGCCAGGTGAAAGTATACAGTCTCTAATCTAAGCGCTGTCTTGCTCGCTCTCCTCGCACATATTAATCAAAATAAATCGACACGATGGTAAGGTCGGAAAAGTTTCATGTGGAGCATTCAGAGATTTTTATTTATTTATTTTTTTCCCCCTGAATTACCGCTGGGTGTGAATTTTGCTGAACTACTTTTTCCACACAGTGCTATGAGGAATCAATAAGAGAATCGTTAAAGAATCGGATCGATAAGCAGAATTGTCAGTGGCATTGATATTGAGATAATCTTGTCAATTCCCATCCCTACTCACAACTCACCCTTGCTCAAGTTCAAATACACAAATTACCAATGACTTCAACTCGTGCAACCAAAAGAACCCACTCTGTTTATTTCATTTGTAAAGACATGTGCCCGCTCAGTGTGGTTAAAAAAGGTTTTATACTTCCTTTTTGTTTCATTCTGCATTTATTTTTCCTGTTCATATGTTCCATACGTTCCAAGTCCCTACTAGGAATTGCTGCTACTCCCAGGTCACTTTTTAGCATAGGAAGGTGTAGTTCCATTTTTAAACTATGCTCTTAGGGCTCAAGGTGGGTATCAAGTCATGGTAGAGATTCAGCAATTCCTGAACGGGGTTCAATGTTACATTTGAAAGACATGAATTGCAACTAACACGTCTTCCAAACCTTTTCAGTAACCTGGCACATGCTGTGTCCAATGGACCATGGAAGTCATTTTACTTGGCTGACGAGGTAAAATGTGTGGCTGTAGCACGATTCATTGCATTTAGTAGAGTAGCGTACATAGGCAGGCCTCTTTATATTTTTTATTATGATTTGACAGTGACGCAGAATGAACCTAGTTGCTGCTAAATGGAAGGTTAAAGCACATTGTGTCACTTTTTGTATGATTAAAGCTGCAAAATGAGTGTAGATATCAGTAGGCATCATTTAATAAGAATCATTGATAATAAATCACACACCCCTTTTACCATCATAGGGCGCATCTCCCCAGCATCAGAGCAACAGCTGTGGTGTGTTTATGCTGATGGTGAGATGCAATATTTTCAGAAGTGATAACTGATTACTAGTTTGCAGAACAACTAACACATTTGTATGTTCATTTCAGTATGCAATGTATTCTAGCCTCCAAAAGCCATACGATTTTGTTGAGGTGAGTTCGTTCAAATCTCAATCAGATTTGTAGTGTGAAATAAGGCTTTTAATAATTTAGTCCAATCTGGAGGCTACAGTTAACATGCACCAATAGGCCATACACTTAACTTTGTCTGCAGTTACTGTACTCACTGGAGGAGATGGCTACATCTGTAAAAATGTACACTGCCATGGTTCCCATATCTGTACTGTACAGTCCCATAAGTACTGTAACATGGATTTGTGTCAGCCTATGAAGACATTTAGAGCATAACATTACTTTCAGGTGGACATGCTCTCTATCAGGAGGTGGTGGTGTGGACAACTGCTTGAGACCTTTACACTTGAAAGGTGTTGCATACTGCGTCCATATTTTGCTATTTAATTATATTTGGTGCTCATGAAGATGGAAGCCAATATACTGATCTCATTTTTTTCTCTAGCCCTGCAAGACTAGCCGACACACCCATCTCACCCTCTCCATCTCCCCATGTCAGCCGCCCCTTCCAATCTCTAAGCTGTCCATCCGGCACACCCATTACAGAGGACAGTCCATTCTTGCCACTTGTAGTCCTTCAGCGTATTATTGAAGAGACTCTGAGTTTAGACATGGCTATGCTTGGCGTGTTCAACAGAGTTTCTAAAACTTTCCGGGAACTCGCAAAGCCATTCCACCCCTCAGTTTATATTAATGAGAGTTTGGCTGGGGACCTCAAACTTAAAGACAGTCTGATGCATGTAACTGTTCGAAAAATGTATAAGACTGCAGGTCGTGGCAGTGGCCTTGCACTATGCCTCAAAGGCTTTTCCAAAAGAAGAAACTGGCCGAGCACACGCCTGGTGCTGAGCCACATGGCTTATGGCAGGTATCTGATTGAAGATGTCTGCCTACCATAGTGTTGTTCTCTGAGTCTGTGTGGTTAGAACAACGTCGTCAACACTTTTATTACTCCTTTCTTTTGTTTTATTTGACACGTTTTATTGTGTTATCCCTTTCAGTTTTGCATGCCAATAAATCTGTTTTATACTGTACGTACTACAATGTTCAAAAGTAAATTGATCAAGAGAAATTACAGTATTTTGTCTTTTTTGAAAACATCTAAAGGGCCTGTGGGAAGAGTAAGTGAATCCTTGGAGTCAAATTGCGATAGCTGTTTGAGCCTTCATAAAGTGTGTCTGGGTAACTGGACTGAAACTGCACAATGTCCCAAGTGTTATTTTAATCTATTCATTAGCCTATTAAATTCAGACATATTCTTCAACAACTGTATTGGTTTCGGACTGGATCTCAAAGTGTTCCTTTATTTGAAGCAACTAACTTGTATCTAGGGGATGGCTATAGAGATAGCTGTGTCCTCAACTCGTAGAAGATAATGAACATGTACTGCACAACCACAACATTCTCATATTTAGCTACTATGGAGCCTCCCTAAAATGATTGTTGTAATAACAGTAAATTAATCCTAATCAAGCCGCTCAAAAGCTGGTTTAGTCAGTTAGATGCTAGCTGATGTCTGCCTATGCTTAAAGACAAATTAGGACTGAGATAAACTTGTCCTACACGTAATTTTATTTATGTAATTGGAATAACATTCTGTAGATGGCTTAGCTTGCTAACGTTAGTTTTATGCTAACCGCAACATTACAGACAACTGGGGCCTCATGTATAAAACTTTGCGTAGATTTCATCCTGAAAGTGTGCGTACGCACATAAGGCAGAATTTGCATACACACAAAAGTTTTCAGATTTATAAAACCGTTCGTACGCCAGAACCTGCGCAGAATTCACTTCATAAATCCCAGTCAGCGGGAGATTATGCACACGTGCGTCTCCTCCCCGAAATAACCATATATGGAGATTACAACGCCTAGTTTAAATATGCATATCCTCATCTGCATATCATTTGCATATGATTATTCATCCACGTGATGCCAAGTTTAACGGTACAAGACGTTAGGAAAATATGAAATGCGGATGTGCCGTCACATTATTACAAACATTTTTTTTTTTTTAGTAGCCTATATCCTTGCCTTGTTTTTTAAATAGTGTTAAATACATTTCAGAGAAAGTTTTTCTCAATCTTTTCCACTGGCCAAATAGTATTTTTAATTGATTTATATTTTAATGGAAAGCGATAGACATATTTGTGCATTATTTGCACGAAACAGTTTTCTCAGACTATCTCTAGTTAAAACATTAAAACACAGCATGCCAGAAGAAAAGTGTTCAAAATGCATCCACAACAAATAGGTCTATTTCTATTTATTGAATATATATATATAAATAGTAACTTCTCAGTAATGATTTCATGTAGTTTAAGAGTTTAACTCCATTAATGAGAATGGCATATTTAATCTAAATGTTTATATCAGAAGTAAAACATAGTTTAAACCATTCTCTTATTTATTTAAACTGTTATTGTGAATATGGACTGTATGATTTGGACTCATAATGAAGATTTACGGTTTTACTCCATCTGCCGTTAGATTATAGGCTATATGTGCGTCAGTTTCACTAAACGGCCCAACGCGCGTGCTGGCGCGGTCATTTAAGAAGGGATGGATGTTTGCTTCAAGTGATGATAGGTTTGTGAAATTATATTTGTATTATATTTCTGCAGATGTATAATTTTCTTTAGATTCACTGTCTAATAGTAAGCAAAAAGACATTTGACTCCAGCTCACCATCGGTGTCGCCAAAACCCATACTCTTCTAAAAGAGTGCATACGCACGGTCAAGAGCATCCTTACGGTGCGCACTTATTTACGCCAAGTTTATTTTTTATAAATCCCGATGTGCGCGTGGAAAAATGCGTACGCATATTTCTATGCCCATTTTGTGCGTACGCAACGTTTATACATGAGGCCCCTGATCTTATTTTGAAACTTAGTTGGCCGACCGTCGGCTTGGTGTGTTCCGAGCTTAAAAACCTTGGTGTGCTCTTTGATACTAATCTCTCATTTGAAAGTCATGTGTCTAGTATCTGTAGAACCACATTTTTCCATCTTTAAAAATATATCTTAATTACGCCATATGCTCTCATTGACAAATGCGGAACAATTAGTTCATGCGTTCATGACATCAAGGCTAGATTATTGTAATACTCTACTGGGTGGTTGCCCTGCACACTTAATAAACAAACTTCAGCTTGTCCAAAACGCAGCAGCTTGAGTTCTTACCAGAACCAGGAAGTATGACCATATTAGCCCGGTTCTGAATTACTTCAATGAGAAAATAGAAAGCATCTGAAACACAATTATAAATGTACAATCCTCTATGGTGTCTTATGATTCAGTTTCAATTATGGCCCCTCTAGAACAACTACACCGCTTTACAACGATAGGACAGGAGGAGCTAAATAAACTTATCATTGCATCTAAACCAACAACATGTTTATTAGATCCAATACCGACTAAACTACTGAAAGAACTATTACCTGCAGTGGAAGAGCCTCTCCTCAATATTATTAACTCGTCTTTATCTTTAGGTCATGTCCCAAAAATATTCAAGCTGGCTGTAATAAAACCGCTCATTAAGAAACCGCAATTAGATCCAAATAACTTGGCAAATTACAGACCCATTTCAAATCTTCCATTTATGTCCAAAATACTAGAAAAAGTAGTGTCCGCTCAATTGTGCTCTTTTTTGCAAGAAAATGATATCTATGAAAAATTCCAGTCAGGATTCAGACATAGTACATCATGGAAAAAGCATATTGATTATGTAAAATCTAAAATTTCAAAGACAGTTGCGATATTAAATAAGATTGGGAACTTGTTAAATAAGAAGGCATTATTTATGTTATATGCATCATTATTTGTTCCATACTTAACATATTGTCTGGAGATTTGGGGTAATACACTGTAAAATGTAACAAGTTGACTTTACTTAGAAAAAGTGAGGAAACCGATTGCCTTAAATTTTCCAAGTAAAGTATTGTATTAATTCTTAGTTGGCGCAACTTAATAGCATTTGTATAGACAACTTGTAAATCAAGTATACTCAAGTAAAGTTGACTCAAAATTATTAGTTGTGTTAACTTCTTATTAGAGTTCACATTACTAGGAAAAAATTAGGAAACCGATTGCCTTAAAATTTTGAAGTAAGCTGAACTAAACAAATTAAGTTAAGACAAAAAGACAAAACTGTACTCGGGTAAAACATTATTTATTACTCCTCAATTGTCCTTATACACTACAGTGTACAAAACAATGTCATTCAGACACAAAAACAGTTTTTTGTTAATGTAACTAACAATTTTAATCACAAAAACATATTGTTATTCTTGTTAACCCTAAAGCAATTCAAATGTGCAGTGCAAATGCTAAAAAGCATCAACATTAGGGTAATGCAGGAAAATTGACACTTAAGTTGCATTGTAAAAATATGTTAAACAAAAGCATTTAACAATACAACTGTTATAAAACATTTTCAACCAAGGTTGACAAGTGACAATTTATAAATGTTTTGTGTATTTTAGTAATTTTGTACAACCACAAACTCAAAGGGTTAGTTCACCCAAAAATGAAAATTAAGTCATTAATTACTCACCCCCATGCTGTACCAACCCAGCAAGACCTTCGTTCATCTTCGAAAACAAATGAGGATATTTTTGATTCAATTTGAGAGCTGGATCACTGCTACATGGGCTCCTAGGGGACTGAAACTTGACGGCCCAGAAAGTCATTAAAGAACATGTTTAAATATTCCATGTGACGACAGTGGCTCAACTATAAGTTTATCAAACGACGAGAATACTTTTTGTGCGGAAATAAAACAAAAATAACGACTTTATTCGACTATTCCTTTTCTTCCGTCTGGGCCTGAAACAAGACTTAAAAAGATTTCTTGCACATGCGTCATGGAAATCTCTTAAACTCTCGTTTCAGGCCTACAAGGAAGAAAAGGAATAGTCGAATAAAGTCGTTATATTTTTTTGTTTTTTCGCACAAAAAGTATTCTCGTCGCTTGATAAACTTATAGTTGAGCCACTGTAGTCACATGGAATATTTAAACATTTT